GTCCATAATTCTTGGAGTCGAAATGCCATAAAGGCATTCTGAAGCTTAACCAATATATATTTTTATACGCTTCTGTCGAAGAATATAAGAACAGGATTGCCTTTTCCTACATTGGGATCAACATGATAAATATCGCTTCCCTGTCAACTGAAAATAACACTTAATCGAGACAGGATAGGGACTGGTGTGCGCTAAAACCTCTGGAAGCACCTACTGCGTGACTGAAGTACCTTTCAGAAGAATAGCTCATCACGTTGGAATCGAAGGTACTGTCGCCACTTGGCAGCGAAACTTCATTCTGTCTACATGGTGACATAAATATCCTGGCAGCTTGCCTGTTGGCGCATAGGTAGACAACTACGGACGGAACTGAACATTTCATAGGATAAGCCATCAGGCCTGCCATATTTATGCATCTCGAAGAAATTGTACAAGGAAATTTAAATTGAAGTGCACACAGAGGATTTAGTCTTTCCCACAACGGTTACCTCGATAGTCTTTTCCAGGTTAGCAGTTCTTCCAATGGTTTTTTTTTCGGTGAGATCGAATACAGGAAAAAGAACGCAGAACAGAACGATCACTGGGGGGGGCACTTGGCCTCTTTTAACAGTCAGATTTCTACCAGCACCTCGTGATGCTTACCTCCCGTTGCAACTTTATAGCCAATCGCTAACTGAGGTGAGGAAAGGGGCTGGTAAGGCGAGTGTGGTTGCTGAGCTCAAGCAATGATGGAAAATAAGTTTTGTTTCGATTTCCGAGCGTTCTTCTTCATGGCCAATTTTCTCCACATACTTCTTGTTTGACCTAACTTAGTTCTGTCACTTGAATACCTTCAGAAAGGTTACTTTATGAGTTTCTAAATAGGTATAGGTTATGCTCTTTGCTCAGCCATTTCGCTGTTACTGCCTCCTAACTGTGCAGCTGAAGCGAATGTGCCTGTCTCATAGACTACTTAAGTTCACGAACACTGTCCTTGAAAAACTTGATATGGCATTGGTTAGGGTACTGAACATAACCAATGAAGACCCTGTAGTTATTATGGCACGTAACATACATTTGACGTATATTAACATTGCGTTTCGACTGATCGAAGTAAGACATCTTTTACTCGCTAATCACATGGTTTAGGGCTACCATGAAGCCATTTTAAGGAATCCGAGAGCCCAATTCCAGCACCATTTGCAATTTTTCAAGCCGCGGCAATTAAGCCTTTGTGATTAATTGAAACAGGGCATTTTGGCACAGAAATAGCCTAATTTTCCGTTATCACAAACATTGGGCTTAGGTAGAAAGTTAGCGAACTGTGTTTGGACGCAACGGCTGATCGGGTCATGAGTTTCAACGCGACTGCATCTTCCCTACTGATTAGTCAGTCTACACAGGCAACCTCACCAGAACAAGGGGATATCGGCTAATCTGTGTGGAGCTTGTCGGCCTTGAGCAACTAATGGGTCGATGTGCGCCTGTTCTCAGATGTATAACCGATCGAACCGCAATAACAAGGAGAGTCAGATGGCAAGATACTGGTGGACTAACTTCCGATGAAGTGTTTATTATCCATCGGATAGGTGTATTTTGGGAACCATCGTTCTGGTCCTACAAATGTGGTCAAGATTATGATCAAATGAACGAAGAAAGAATGAATTCTAAACAGTTCTGTCTCACTCTGTGCATATTTCGCCCATATGCTACTGTATATTCCCGATCAAAAAACCAACAAGACAACGAGCTTTTGGCGCAGTGGTTAGAGCGTTAGACTTCTAACTAGCAAGGTCGCGGGTTCGAACCTCGAGTGGGGCAACACTTGGGTTGGGTATGACTAGCTGCCGACGGCTAATAAGCCAGAAATGGCCATCCCAGTCTCCTCTGTCTTTCTCGGTTATGTCCATCTGCTTATAACATTAGCCGCCTTGCGGTGTAGGTCAAGTGCGAGCCCCAAAGGCTCGGTGTAGGCTTATCTGTTATAGTTCAGTCC